ACTCTACGCTGGCGTTGATTTCATATGCAGTGTTTGCAGACAGATTTTTTGCCCAACCCTCGTTAACGAGCTTGAAAATATAAAAATTGATATCCTTGTTTTCAAAATATTGCTTAACAAATGCGGACACGAGGGCAATTGTGAATGTTTCCAAGACATGTGACTGAGGAAAAGTGGTCCCTTTTTCATGAGACGGCGAAAAGATTGAACATAAAAACTCGTCTAGCCTTTGCACATGCTCAACAGAGGAGAGATCCGAATTACTAAGGTCCAGAAAGCCCTCTGCAAGGGTATTTATGATGGATGACAGAAAGGACGGCTCCGAAAGAGCGGCCAAATAAGATTTGAAAAGTAATATCAGTGGATTAGGAAGGCTTTCAAATAATTGAAGAAACAGCTTCAATATTTTTGCGTCAACGAGCTGCATAAAAAGCAGTTTGAGGTAGCACTTTATGTTTGAGTATTCATCTGAGCGAACCACCTCCAGGTCACATCCGATATGAGCAACAAATTCAGAAAAGTCGGTACTGATTTTGGATGAGTTAGATCTTGACAGGGTATAGAAGTTCTTTACGATGCTATTTTCAATGCAATCCAAAGGCGTCCTGTCAATGTCTTTGACCGAAAGTTTCCCGCTTTTCAGAGCAAAAAGTAAAGCATCCGTATACAGTGCGAAGGCTTGCGTCGATGGCGAACTTTTGGTTACCACTCCACAAGTAGAGCTCGATTTGATGATGGAAAAGATTACTTGCGAAGCTTCTTCATTTGACGCGATCAGCTTAGAGATTGAAAAAAGATATGTAGAAATGTAATTAAAAAGTGTCAATACGTTTGAATTTGAAGGATAAGCCTGCAAAACGGAAAAAATCCCGTTGTATTGATCCAATATTTTCTCAAAGTGGCCAACAATAAGTTTCTTGACGTCATCAAATAACAGGGAGCCAGATGTAGACAATTCATTGTACAGACACTGCAGCTTATCCATGGTGATGCACAGTTTTGCACTATCACCTTGACAAAGGTAATGCTCTAATGGAGCCCCGGAGAGTGCACAAAATTGCTCTTCTAAATGCGAATATATGCTGAAAAGAAGGGTTCGCTTTTCCACGAGTAAATTTTCAATTCCAAAGGCCGAAACTATGCTCTTGACTAATGATACATTGGTGCTCTCCGTATCTTCTGTACCAAATGACGAGATGTCAAGGAACACCATTTGCGCAGAGGAGAAAATCTCTGAAATGGAAATTAGCCATTCTTTTGAATCAGACTCACATACCGGAGAAATAGGAGCTTTTGCAATCATGCCATGCACAATGGAAAAAATGATCTTTTTGAAATTTGGGGTAGAATGGATATTGGAAAAGATTTTTCCCCAATTCAGAATGAAAAGAGAAATAATTTCATTGGAAGAGGACCCCGCGTTTTTGCACAGTGCACTTAGAAAGTAGAGCAAAATTTGTCTAATGCTATCCAGGTCCACTTCGATCTCATTCATCGGAATCAGAGAAAAATCCGAGCAAAGAAAAGATACAATGTTCTCAAAGTGCATATGTTGAGCTTCCGCGGATCCCTGATAGCATTCAACAAGACTCACTACGATCAACGAGCAGAGATCTTTTTTGAGGCAACAAAAGGATGGTGGAAATTTTTGAAGAAGCCATCCGGTGATACTGAAAATCGACTTGAACTCGGCCATATGCGGAGATTGCGTCTTTTTTGACAGCAAAATAGTCAATATTTTGACAAATAGGCCTTTTGCCTGTGGGTTTTTGGAAAACAGAACAAAAAGCAGGCTATCCAATATTTCGATGTCAACTAACTCATGCGCAGAAAGCTTGTGCAAAAGATGCAGCGATGCATTTTGAGCGGTGTTGTCTTTATCTCTGGATGCACACTCAAGAATACGAGGTAGAAACCGATCCAAAAAAGAGCGGATACCGCTAAATATAATATCTTTTTCAGCAGATTCGATCAACGTGATGATTGAAGTTATTGCCTCTGCTCTGGCTTCAGCAACCTTATCGGATAATATCCATCCGATGTACCGAAGATAAGAGTTATCCAAAAACTTTTTTGGATAGATAATGATCCACTCTGCTAGATGCTTGACACAGACCGCTCGGATATAGGGGTCCACATCACGATATCTATGAAGATAAAGTCCATTGAAAATAAAGTCCAAAAGCGACGAAAAGGTCGCAATGGAAACCTGATTGGATTCCAAATCAACGTAGTTGTGAACAATTAATCTGCATAAACTTTCCTGGATATACAAGCCACAAAATGTTGCTGTAATCCTAAACGGCCTGTATTGACATGACGAAAGGGCAAGAATCCATCCAAGCAGCCGCTTAAATACCTCCAAATCCTCCTCGTGACTGTTCATATCGAGAACCAAATTAGAGATAAAGGATGAGAATTTCGATTTGAAGGTCTTATAGTCTCTACGTTCCTTTTTTTGAAACATGAACTCCTTATCGAACAGCTAAAACGGTTACACACTTAAAGCATTACGCTTGGACTGGATGATTGAATTTCTGAAAACAAGGTCACTGGGTCGTCGCTCGCAATTTGGGATTTTGAAATTGGCCCGTTAAACCCGGACGACTATATGGTCAATAAAACACCAAATACTTTAAGCAGCAATCCGATGAAGTGCATAATGGCAGAATCGGAATCCGCCAATAGCCATTTTATAAAATTGGCGCCAAGCTTTGACGGAGTATGTCTAGACTCTTTGATGGATAAATAGAGGTCTATATTTTCTAAATTGGAGCCGTTGCGACCAGATCTAGGTTTTGGCCTTTTGATAGCGTTTGCACTTACCTGAGGATTATCATTTTCAGGTTCACTTGATATCATAGAACTAATATTTGGAAAATTAAATTGTGTCCAATTGAAAATACAAATTTTGCCGTTTTGGACAACCCCACGGTCGAAGTTCGATATTTCCCCTGAACATCGTTTCAAATTTAAAAGGTTGAGGATAAACCTGAATTTGTAACCCTAAATCGAGTGGACTTGACCCGTTTATTTGACCTGCAATAGCACCATCAAATTCTAATTTTGATCTTATGGCAATTTAAGGCGATTTTATCTTCCCTTTTATTAGGGCTCCATTGGTATTGAGATATGCTTGCTTTTTTATCAATTTTTTAGCGATAATTTCAAAGCGCGACAAACCCAATCAAACACTATTTTTGAAACACATATCATCTCTTAATCCTTTCTGGTTGAACCCCCGCAATATTGAAGGAACTATAAATGGCAGAAAGACTTGCTTCAAGTTCAGCATCATCATCAAAATAGTATCTATTTCTGAAAATAGCTTGTTCTGTCTTGTTAACCCCACATTTATAGATGGCTTCTTCTTGGTTTGAATTAAAAGTTGCGAAGCAGATAGTCTAGATTGGAAATTTTCCTGGGTCTCGGCTTACTCACCGCGGTTTCGTCTCGTTCTGGTTAAGAGGAGTTTAAAAAGCCGTCTGAAAGCAAGTATCTGTTGACAGAATAGCGGCTTGACAAATCAGGCACTCACCAAGGGCAAGTCAATATATGGAATTGGTTTGCAATATATGGAACTGGCTTGCAATATATGGAACTGGCTTGCAATATATGGAATTGGCTTGCAATATATGGAATTGGTTTAATAATTAAATCTAAAAAAGAGCAGTCATGTGTCTTAATTACCGAGTGTAAAATGCAAAGTCGCCATTGAGCATATGATTGATCGGTCATGACATTAATAAAAGGTCGGCTTTTTCTGTAAAATTTATGATGAGAATTCTACTTGCTCAAGCAAGCTTCTTGGTCTTTTTCCTGTGGTATGCTTGTTTTTTGTCTTACCTGCTAATCATGAGATGCAGATTAAATTTATGCGGTCAATTACAGCTTTTGTCACACTTTTTTCTTTTACTTGGGGCAGAATTGTGAACATTAATTAGAAAGAAATTAATACCTTTTTTCAGGAAAAACACCTTGCAGAAAGGTAAATACAGAAGCACGCCAGCAATGAGAGTCCCAAGACAATGCTATTCTTACGACAATCAAGCATTTAAAGTTGAATGCCTGTGAGCTTGTTGCTATTTTAACCCAAATTTTAAAAAGTGGCATGAGATTGATTTTAAAGAAATTGGCCTTATTTCCTGTGGACTTGATGGAATAACTCCTGGAAATAAACTTGATAAGGACTGACATATGAAAATTAATTTTTTATGCCATAATTGAGGATATATAGCTTGAGGTAAATATAAAGAGTTAGCACGATTTATGTCCACCAAAGAGATTTTTTGGGTAAAAACAAAATCAAGCGTATCTCAGTTAATATTGCGAGTATAACCGAGAAATTGCAAAAAGTAACGTGATATCGCGTAAAATTTATGAACAGACCGGTTGGAGTGTGTAATAGGCTGCCTCTAACCCGAGTTAATTAGTAATCGAAAATGCCACAGAAAGGT